CATCGTGATCCGCCCATCTCGGCCTCCCAAAGTGCTGGGATTACAGGTGTGAGCCATCGCACCCAGCTATGCTCATACTTTTTTTCAAATATTTACCTATATTTATTTTTGACAGAGTTTATGCTCATTGCTGAAAGAGTGTTTAATGTTTGAGGATAGTTTAGTCCATGGAGAGAACACCCCACCAATATTCATGCTTTTTTAAATGCTCAATTTATTAAAAATATACCTATAAACAAAATTTAGAAATGTGTTTTCTTTAATATTCAAAGATTGATTGCAAATTTCATTAAATTTCCTTCAACAATTTAAACTGTAATTACAAATTCACCATGAGGATTCTTTTGAATACAGTTATTTATTTATTTATTTATTTTTGAAATGAAGTCTCACTCTGTTGCCCAGGCTGGAGCGCAGTGGCGTGATCTCGGCTCCTTGCAACCTCTGCCTCCCAGATTCAAGCGATTCTCCTTCCTCAGCCTCCTGAGTAGCTGGGATTACAGGTGCGTGCCACTACACTTGGCTAATTTTTGTATTTTTGGTAGATACGGGGTTTCACCATGTTGGCCAGGCTAGTCTGGAACTCCTGACCTCAGGTGACCAGCCCGATTGGGCCTACCAAAGTGCTGGGATTACAGGTGTGAGCAACTGCGCCTGGCCTCTTGTGAATACACTTTAAACTTTACACAAAGTAAACACACATGCAGTGATTACAAGGCTTACTGTAATTATTCTTAAATCTGTTTTAAATTACCAGCATCATGGATTTAATTTATTACTTCACTGGTTTTTACTTGTTTGTGTTTTTCCCTAGGTATATGATACTTTGTTATTTGCTAAAAAATTTCTTTTGATGTTTCCTTGTGTTCCTGAAATCTTATCAGACCCTATTTCCACCTACATGGTCTAATATCCTCAATCCTCAGATCAACCAAGGCTGTAGACTCGGGCTTCTCAGCAGATTGCTTCATGGTTGGGGCTCCGAAGGTGGTGGTTTTTCTCAAAGAGCTGCATCTTTTTGTAGTAAAATTCTGCTACCTCAGTACCCTTACTTTTTAGCAACATCAGTATGTCCCACAGGCTTATCTTGTGCTTTACCTGCCCGAAACACAAAATCAGCTCCCCTCCAAGGGCCCAGGTTTCTTTTAGTGGATAATTATATTATAGACCAAAATCCAGGCTCTAAGAAGTTGATGTTGGTAAAAAGGACCTGGTTGTTACTGAGCCCCTCTTAGTAGTGATAGAACTGAAAGACAGCAAATACTCCTAATATGTAAATAGTCCCTACAAATCAACAAGAAAAAGACCAAGGTAGGCTGTGGTGGCTCATGCCTGTAATTTCAGTGCTTTGGGAGGCTGAGGTAGGAGGATTGCTTGAGTTGGGGAGTTTGAGACCAGCCTATGCAACATAGCAAGACCCCATCTCTACTAAACATGAAAAAAATTAGCTGGGTATGGTGGCATACACTTGTAGTCCCAGCTATTTGGGAAACTGAGGTAGGAGGATCATTTGAACCCAGGAGTTAGAGGTTTCAGTGAGCTGTGATGGCACCACTGCACTCCAGTGACATGGTGAGACCCTGTCTCAAAAAAGAAGGAAAGAAAGGAAGGAAGGAAGGAAGGAAGGAAGGAAGGAAGGAAGGAAGGAAGAGCCCAAAATCCAATAGAAAAATGGAACAGCCAGTTCACACAAAACGAAATACAAATAGCTCCTACAGTATAAAAAGATGCTCAACTTTACTCATAATAAGGGAAATGCAAATTAAAATTAAAACTAGGATACCATTTTTCACCTATCCGATTGGCTAAGGTAATCCTGGTTATTAACACACCGTTGGCAAAAGTGAGGAAGAACGGGCATTCTCAGACATAGTCCACTGCAGGGGTGTAAATCAGTACAAGTTTCTACAGAGGGCAACTGAGCAGTTTCTGCCGAAATTTGATATGCTTTTGTTCCAGAAATTCTATCTCCAGGGTTTTGTTCTACAGATATACTTTCATACGAGAAATGCTGTATATACAAGGATTATTTCTTTCAGCACTTTTTCATAGTTACAAAAGATTACTAACAACCTGCGTCCGCTATAAGAGACTAGTAGAATTTATTATGTTACAGCAAATAGCAGCCTCAGCAAAGAACAAGGAAGCTCTTTGTGCACGGATATGGAATGACCTCCTGTTGCACTGTGGAAAAATGAGATGCAGAATAAGGTGTGCTATGATGTGCAGGAAAAGGACAAAAAGGATAGGTGTATATTTGCTCTGTAATATTAGTGCACAGAAGAGACTGGTAACAGTGATTGCTGGGAATGGAGCAACTGGGTGGCTTGGGGCCGAGAGGAGGGAGAAACTAGTGAATACCACCTTGTACCTTTTGACTTTTGAATCAGGTGAATGTACTTCCCACTAAACAATTAAGCAGGGCGGGGCGTGGTGGCTCACGGCTGTAATCCCAACACTTTGGGAGGCCAAGGCAGGTGGATCACTTGAGGTCAGCAGTTCAAGACCAGCCTGGCCAACATGGCGAAACCCCATCTCGACTGAAAATACCGAAAGTAGCTAGGCGTGGTGGTGGGTGCCTGTAATCCCAGCTACTCGGGAGCCTGAGGCAGGAGAATCACTTGAACCTGGGAGGCAGAGGTTGCAGTGAGCCGAGATCACACCACTGTACTCTAGCCTGGGCAACAGAGCAAGACTCCATCTCATTAAAAACAACAACAACAACAACAACAACAATAACAACCCAAAACCAAAACCAAAAAACAAGCAAACCAGAAAATATGCATCACAGACATGGACTTCATTTGTGTTACCAGACTGACTGTAATCCATGCCATGGAGCTTATGTTACTATTCCCCTTTTGTTTACATTGTCTGATAGTTATTTGTTTCCCTTTGTCTCCCCCAAGGGAAGGATTCATTTATAATGAATTTTTCAGCTCAATGTGTTTCAGAAAAACACTTACTGACACCTACAAGCCCTGACACTGTGCTGTCTCCAAGGGAAACAAATGTGAGAGTCCTGCTGGGTGTGTAGTCCTTGCCTAGGACGGGCTCACATTAGTGGGGGATACAGACATACAAACAAAAGCTCACACTGCAGTATTAAGTGTGCAACAATAGAAGTGTGCACAAGGAGTAAAGTGTTAGAAAGGAAAGCTGGGCCGGGCGCGGTGGCTCACGCCTGTAATCCCAGCACTTTGGGAGGCCGAGACGGGTGGATCACGAGGTCAGGAGATCGAGACCATCGTGGCTAACACGGTGAAACCCCATCTCTACTAAAAAATACAAAAAACTAGCCGGGCGAGGTGGCGGGCGCCTGTAGTCCCAGCTACTCGGGAGGCTGAGGCAGGAGAATGGCGTAAACCCGGGAGGCGGAGCTTGCAGTGAGCTGAGATCCGGCCACTGCACTCCAGCCCGGGCAACAGAGCGAGACTCCGTCTCAAAAAAAAAAAAAAAAAAAAAAAGAAAGAAAAGCTGAACCTGGCGTGGAGCCTGGCGTGGTGCCTCATGCCTGTAATTCCAGCACTTTGGGAGACTGAGGTGGGTGGATCACGAGGTCAGGAGTTCAAGACCAGCCTGGCCAACATGGAGAAACCCCATCTCTACTAAAAATACAAAAATTAGCTGAGTGATGGCGGGCGACTACAATCCCAGCTACTTAGAAAGCTGAGGCAGAGAACTGCTTGAACCTGGGAGATGGAGGTTGCAGTGAGGCAAGATGGCGCCACTGCACTCCAGCCTGCATTCCAGGGTGACAGAGTGAGACTCCATCTCAAAAAAAAAAAAAAAAGAAGGAAAGCTAATTTGCTCTGGTGGGGTGGTGGGGGATGAAAGTACCCGGCAAGACTTTCCGGAGAAACTGGAGATTAACTAGGGTTTAGAAGCATGAATAGATGAATAGATTAATCCAGGAGCAAGTTCTTTGAGAGAACAGCAGTGCGGGGGCAGGGAGTTCCAGGGAACAGATGGCTCCAGACCAAAGAGAAATTGGAGACGAATTAGGGTTTAGAAGCATGAACAGACTAACCCAGAAGTGAGTTCTTTGAGAGAACAGCAGGGGGGAGGTTCCGGGAAACACATGGCTCCAGCACAGGAGATGCCAGGGTGCAGTGGGATGAGAGGTGAGGAGCGCTGGTGAGGTTAGCAAGGGCACTGAATGCCAGAAACATTTATCTGGACTTTTATTCTGCAGGCAACAGGGAGATGGAGGCTTTTACGCTCAAAAGGAATGAGTCCCAGTGGCTGGCACAGAGAAGGCAAGTGTGCAAAGTTGGTCAAATGAATTCCTTGGCCTGAATGTACCTTCCTCAAATGCCACTGCAAACTGGGTCTCCTCGCCCACTTCACCCTCTCCTGCAATCCAACTTGTGAGGCGTGTGTGTGTGCGTGCATGTGTGTGCCCTTGCGTGTATGCGTGTGTGGGTGTGTGTGTCTGTGCGTGTGTCTGCGCGTGTGCTTGTGTCTGTGCGTGTTTTCATGCATGTGCGTGCGTGTCTGTACATGTGTGCCTGTGTGCGTGTCTATGCAGGTGTCTGTGCATGTGTGTGCGCGTGTGTGTGCGCGCGTATATGCATGTGTATGTGTGCATGCATGTGTGCGTGAGTCTCTGCGTGTGTGTGCCTGCACGCATGTGTGTGTGCGTGCACGTGTGCGTGAGTCTGTGCGGTGTGTGTGCGCGCGTGTGCATGCATGTGTGTGTGCATGTGTGCGTGAGTCTGTGCGTGTGTGTGCGTGCATGCATGCGTGTGTGTGCATGCATGTGTGCGTGAGTCTGTGCGTGTGTGTGCGTGTGTGTGTGCGTGTGCACGCGTGCATTTAGATGGAGGTTGGCTTCCCAGTCATCCAGGCTTGGCCCAAAGTCCGTGGTACACAAGTGCATAACTCCTACCCCCACCTCGCCTGCCTGCTGTACCAGGCGTTGATTCCCTCTTCCTGCATGTTTTCGGTTCAAATCCTTTTCTTCTTCTCCCTCCCGTCAAGATAGTAGTTTCCACTCCCTGCTCTCGCCAGGACACCGCCTTTTGGACTGGGGCTGAATTCTGCCCTTTGAAGCTCTGCTCCTTGGAGCTGGGGGCCCCAGAGGTAGGCGGAGTTGATTGGAGACCTGCCACCCACATTCCGACCCCAAGCGACCTCCAAAAGGGCGGGGTCTCAGGCTGGGTTATTTAGCTGGTCCACCCTTCTTCCCCACCAGAAGGAGCGAAACGTCTTTGAGCAAGATGGGTCTCTACCGCATCCGCTTGTCCACGGGGGCCTCGCTCCATGCGGGTTCCAAGAACCAGGTGCAGCTGTGGCTGGTCGGCCAGCACGGGGAGGCGGCGCTCGGGAAGCGACTGTGGCCCGCACGGGGCAAGGTGAGCTCCCCAGAGCCGGGCGGGGTGGGCTGCGCGCCTGGCTCCGAGTCAGTCAAATACCCGGGAGGCCACGCACCCCCGTAGGCCTCTGGCCCATTCTCTTTGCCGAGGGCGCGCACACTGGGCTCAAAGACAGCGCACGGAGGCCGCAGGGGTGGGGGGCTTTAGGGCAGTTGGTGGCACCCAGTAAGCGCTCAATAAACGTTGCCGCTACCCGATCTCCTTGGAATTGAGGGCACCCTCCTGTGCGCCCCTCGCTGCACAGAGCTCCCTTGTCTGGAAACTCAGCGGACACCGGAGCGGCCGTCGGTCCTCCCGCTTTCTCTATCTTAAAAAAACGTTTCAACCGCTAGCGCTGTTGGATCTCTGACCTTTCGGGCTTTATCACCTGGGGTGGAGTTGGTGATGAGAGGGAAGGGATGGGGAGTCAAGGCAGGAGAACGCTCTCAATTTCCCGACCCACCTCCTGTCATATCTCATGTCATATCTACCTGGTGTTCTACCCGGTCCTGTTACTTTTTTTCTTCCGCGAAACCCCGAATTCCCATCACTGCTCTAGCCCTCTCCCAGATCCCCAAATCCGGATGTCTGTCTCAGGGAACGTCAAAGGAACATGCCCGAACGAGGGCATGTTCCCACCTCCCAGCCCTCTCCTCCTGCCTCCCCGGGTGTCTCCCGCGCCTCCTCCCTCCCTTCACCTCCCTCTAAACAAGAATCCGGCGCAGTCAGTTCTAGACCCTGAGCATCTCCCGCGTCCCAGCCCAATATCCGCCCCGCCGCCGACCGCCCGCGTCTCCTTGAACCTGCGGAGCCCTGCTCCCCGCACCCCCACGCCCGTGCTCCGAGCTTCCGAGAAAGCGGGGCGAAGGGAGCCAGAAAGAGAGAAAATGCGCACGGAGCGGGTTGCCCCGCGACTCCATGGTGAGGGGACGGGGCACGGAAGGTGGAAAGGCGCTCCCTCCTCCCTTTTTCCCTCCCTGTGGTGGGCAGTTGGTGACACACAGTAAACGCTCAATAAATGTTTCCGCTACTCCATCTCCTTGGAATTAAGGGGATGCCCCTGGGCGCCCCTCATTCCACACAGCTCTGGTGTCTGGAAACTGGTCGCCAGAGCCGTCGTAGGTCCTCCGCTTTCTCTATTGTAAAAGCCATTTCAAACCTCCAGCGGCCTCGCCGCCTCTGCTGCAGACCTTCCAAGCCCTTCTGAAGCCAGAATGATTTCTCCCTAATTCACTCCCCCTGCTTAACACATTCGAATGGCTCCCGCTTGTTCTCGGGACCAAATCCAAAGCCCTTGGCGCCACCTTCGAGAGCCTCCGGACCTGCCGACTCCCCACACCTGGGCTCTGAGCTCCAGCTCCAAGGTGCTGCGCGCCCTCCCATCCCCGCTGCTCGCTCTGCCCGGCGCGCCTTTCCCCTGCCTTCCCTTTCTCTCACTCTCCCTGGCTGAGCCCTTTCCGCCTTCAGGTCTCCGGGAAGGTTGTCCCCAGGCCGGTGGGGCCCCTGCAGGTCCTCAGCCTTGGGCGGGGTGGGGGCAGGGGGTGGTCGCACAGCAGGAATTGCCACCAGCGTGCCCTGGCTCCACAGCGCGCTCGTCCAGGGCGCGGCTCCGGGTTCCCAGCGCCCAGCCCAGCGCTTGGCACAGTCAACGACCACAGGGAGGAGAAAGTGAGAGCAGGTGCGGACCTTCCCACCTGCCGTCCCCGTCCCCTCAGAACGGAGTCCTGAGGCCACCTGCTCGGCGCGGTCCCTCTCTCTCTCTGGCTCAGTCCCCCGACCCTGATACGTCTCCTCCTCTCAGAGCCTCCAAGGAAGGGCGTGGGCTCTGGAAGGAGCAGGGCTCAGCCGGGTGACCCTCCCGCCCGTCCCCGCCGGGGCTGAGCCTCTAATGTCGCCCGCAGGAGACAGAAGTCAAGGTGGAAGTACCGGAGTACCTGGGGCCGCTGCTGTTTGTGAAGCTGCGCAAACGGCACCTCCTTCAGGACGACGCCTGGTTCTGCAACTGGATCTCCGTGCAGGGCCCCGGAGACGGGGACGAGGTCCGGTTCCCTTGTTACCGCTGGGTGGAGGGCGACGGCGTCCTGAGCCTGCCCGAAGGCACCGGTGAGCGCGGGGCTGGGAGTGTCAGGAGGCCTCTGGGGTGCGAGAGAAGCTGGGGGGATGCGCATGTGGAGAAGAGAGCGCAGGGTGGAGGTGCTGGAACCTGGAGCGCCGGGGTCTTTGGGGGTGTCGAAGGGGCGGTGGCTGCAGCTGGCACAGAGTGGCTGGAGCCTGGGGAAGGGGCGTGATACTGAGGGGGCAGGGGCCACACAGAAGGACGGGGTGATGAGGCTCTCCCGGCAGGGGCGAGAAGAGGATCTCACAAAAAGTCACTGGCCAAGCCCTCCCCTGTCCTTCTAGGCCGCACTGTGGGCGAAGACCCTCAGGGCCTGTTCCAGAAACACCGGGAAGAGGAGCTGGAAGAGAGAAGGAAGCTGTACCGGTGAGCCCTCCTCCCCTGACCCCACGTGAGCTGCTGCTTCTTCCAGCACCCACGCCTGATTTCCTTCCCGCCCCACAGGTGGGGAAACTGGAAGGATGGGTTAATTCTGAATGTGGCTGGGACGAAACTAAGTGACCTCCCTGTGGATGAGCGATTTCTGGAAGACAAGAGAGTTGACTTTGAGGCTTCACTGGCCAAGGGGTGAGAGCAAGGGGAGGCTGGGTGAGAGGGAGGTGTCCTGGTCTAGTGGAAGCCAAGGGGCTTATGGGCTGCACTGCACTGGACTGGCCCAAGATCGGTGCCTGTGGTCGCCATGTTGGAGTCTCAGAATGATGCTCAAACCCTTTGCCCCATCCTGCCCTGAAGGCTGGCGGACCTTGCTATCAAAGACTCTTTAAATGTTCTGACTCGCTGGAAGGATCTGGATGACTTCAAACGGATTTTCTGGTGTGGCCAGAGCAAGCTGGCAGGTCAGTCCCCCCTCCCCGATATGTCTCCCAGGACCCTTACCCCCAGATCCCGCCCAACCCAGGGGAATTGAAAGCAGCAGCATGGGGAGACCAGAAACTTGGGTCCCACTGGTGGGCTGGAGTCAAGGGGCATGGTTGGTGGGGTTGGAAGGACCAAGAGCTCAGATCCCACAACTTGCTAAACAACTGCCTTCCCCAGAGCGCGTGCGGGACTCCTGGAAGGAAGATGCCTTATTTGGGTACCAGTTTCTTAATGGCGCCAACCCCATGTTGCTGAGGCGCTCCGCTCACCTTCCTGCCCGCCTCGTGTTCCCTCCAGGCATGGAGGAACTGCAGGCCCAGCTGGAGAAGGAGCTGGAGGTACGGACATCAGAGCCCCGAGGAGGCTCAACAGTGCAGTGGGGTGGGCTAGCGTCAATGATGCTGCTGCGGGACCACTCTGGGCCGGGCTTGCTGCCAGCCAGCAAGGCCGGATTCTGCAGGAGAGGTCCTGAGGGATCCTGGAGAAGCTCAGCGGCTCGGCCTCCTTCCCACACGAGAGTAGCTGCGGAGGGAGGGCGTGCAAGGTGGAATGGTTGATAGAAACAGGGTCAAATGAAGAAACGTGACTGGCCCTTGGTGCTAGGGATTCAGGGAGTGTGCAGAGGAAGAGAATCAGGGTCAGAGTGCTGTGGCTGTTAATCAGGAGGCGACATGGAACAACAGAGAGGAAATTCATGGGATTCCAGGGCAGATAGGCTTGGATGTGAATCCTGGTTCTGCTATTTGTAAGCTGTGTGACCTCAGGCAAAGCATCCAGCCTCTCTGATTATCTGTTTCCTCTTCTGTAAAATCGAGGCTCATTCAACTAGGTGTTATAAGGCTGAGCTCAGTGGCTCACACCTGTAATCCCAGCACTTCAGGAGGCTGCAGGAGGATCACCTGAGCCCAGAAGTTGGAGGCCAGCCTAGGCAACATGGAGAAACCCTGTCTCTACAAAAGCACAAAAATTAGCATCTGTAATTTTTGGTGTAGTGGCATGCACCTGTAGTCCCACCTATTTGGAGGCTGAGGTGGGAGGATCACCCGGGCCGAAGGAAGTCAAGGCTGCAGTGAGCCGTGGTGATCCTGCCACGGCACTCCAGCCTGGGCAACAGAGTAAGACCCTGATTCAAAACAACAACAACAAAAATGATATGAGGCAATAAGCACATGATCCATTACCTGGAAAAAGTAGGTGATGGAGACAGGTTAGCTCCTCTCTCTCTCTCTGCCCCCTTGGAGGAATCAGAGTAGGAAGAAGATGCTTTATGCTGATAGCAGCCCTTGACCTCTTCCCCCACTCAGGGAGGCACACTGTTTGAAGCTGACTTCTCCCTGCTGGATGGGATCAAGGCCAACGTCATTCTCTGTAGCCAGCAGTACCTGGCTGCCCCTCTGGTCATGCTGAAACTGCAGCCTGATGGGAAACTCTTGCCCATGGTCATCCAGGTGAAAGGACTCAAGATTTCTGCTCCCAGTCTCCAGCCTTCTTAGCTCAGCCCCTTATCGAAATTCACTGAGCACCATCTGCAAAGGCACTGGGCTAGAGCACCGGGGAGACCCCAAAGGAGAAAATGCGCCAAGTCTCTGATTCGAAGGCCTTGCAGTGTAGCTGGAGAGACACTTGGGGCCAGTCTGCAGACTCTGGGACTGAGGAAGTGGACAGAGATAGCCCAGGAGGGATCAGGGGAGGTGGGATGTCATGAGCCTTGGAGGAGGGCCAGGTCTCAGACAAGCAGGAGGGAGAGAAAGGACCAGTCCTCAGTGGCAAGACAGACTGGGCAGAGGCTGAGGTAGAGGAGTCAGGAGATTCCTAGGGGACTGTTGCACTGGGGCCAGACTAAGCCAGGCTAAGGAGTATGAGGTGGGAAGCTGGAGAAGGCTGTGACGAAACGTGCTATGGGCACACGGTGTGGGCAGTGGTGTTTAGGGTGGGTTGGAGAGGGGGGCTGGGGCAATGTGCTCCAGCACTGACCCCAGGAGGAGGGGAGCTCAGATGTGGGTGGTGATTATCAGGATGGAGAGGACAGGTGGATGCAAGTGCAGAGGGAGATCAAGGAGAGGGGAAAGGGGAGCCAGGCCAGGTGCCTGCAGAAATAGCACCAATAAAGAGAACAGGGTGCCCCGGGAGACTTTTGTCTGGCCAATGTTGAGGTAATGGAAGACATTTAAATTGTCCAGCAGGCAGCTGAGAACAAGAGATTCAGTCATTTGTGTAGAAGTGGGGCTAGAAGATTAGATTTCGAAAAACAGTGTGGGATGAAGGAAGCAGGTGGTTTGAATCTTTTCCACACTGCGGGGACTGAAAGGGGAAGTGGAGGCTGGCGGAGGCACCAGAAGAGCGTTTCTGCAGAATGCTGGAGGCAAAGCAGCTTGCAGGGTGCTAATGCACCGAGCGGGTAGGAAGGGGAGGGGAGGAAATGGGAGCTGTAGGGAGTGGGAGCAGTGAGATGGGGAAAGCGAGGCAAAACAGGTTTGGAGGACGAACGGCAAGGTTAACATGCAAGGGGGCGGGGGTCAGATTGCTGAGTGCCCAGCACTCATGCCTTCTCTCCCCACACCTTGTCCCTGCTCCAGCTCCAACTACCCAGCGCAGGATCCCCGCCACCTCCACTTTTCTTGCCCACGGATCCTCCAATGGTCTGGCTTCTGGCCAAATGCTGGGTGCGCAGCTCTGACTTCCAGCTCCATGAGCTGCAGTCTCATCTTCTGAGGGGACACTTGATGGCTGAGGTCATTGCTGTGGCCACCATGAGGTGCCTGCCGTCCATACATCCTATCTTCAAGGTAACACCTTATCCCCTTCTCTCCTGCCTACCCCAGGGCACGTTCCCACCTCTGGAGGCTCCCTTTCTGTGAGGTCTCCGGTATGGAGAGAAACAATGAATGGACAATGTGAGAGCAACAGAGAACGAGCAGGGCTGGCCATGCATTTTCAAAGGGGATATCACCTCCCACCTGGGGAAAGTGGTGGAAAAAATCTTACTCTTTTTATATATAAAGCACAGTACATGCAAATGACCAAGGATTCCGTCCAACAAGAGGAACCCATGCAAATAACATTAAAAAGATCTTTTCCAGACACTCATTGTTTTTTTGGTTTTTTTTGTTTTTTTTTTTTTTTTTTTGAGATGGAGTCTCCCTTTGTTGCACAGGCTGGGATGCAGTGGTGTGATCTCAGCTCATTGCAACCTCTGCCTCCTGGGTTTAAGCAATTCTCCCACTTCAGCCTCCCCAGTAGCTGGGATTACAGTCACGCACCACCACGCCTGGCTAGTTTTTTTGTATTTTTAATAGAGACAGGATTTCACCATGTTGGCCGGGCTGGTCTCGAATGTCTGACCTCAGATGATCCCCTTGCCTCGGTCTCCCAAAGTGCTGGGATTACAGGCGTGAGCCACCGCGCCCAGTCCAAGCTTGTCTTCTTTAAAGAACTGAAAGAAGGCGAGCGTAATGGATGAAGGGGAGAGGGAGGAGACCAGGCTCTGGAGGGAGGCAGTGATTAGACCATCCATTCTCAGTAGGGGCAACAATGTCCTCCAAGGGGTGAAGATGGCTGGAAAATGTGTGTGAAAAATATTATTATTATTATTATTATTATTAATTTATTTATTTTGCTGCCCAGGCTGGAGTGCAGTGTCATGATCTTGGCTCATTACAACCTCTGCCTCCTGGGTTCAAGTGATTCTTCTGCCTCAGCCTCCCAAGTAGCTGGGATTGCAGGCGCCTGCCACCATGCCTGGCTAATTTTTGTATTTTTAGTAGAGACGAGGTTTTGCCATGTTGGTCAGGCTTGTCTCAAACTCCGAGGTGATCTGCCCACCTCGGCCTCCCAAAGTGTTGGGATTACAGGCGTGAGCTGCTGTGGCCAGCCAAATCTTATTATTTTATATAGCACAGATATAATGTGATATATATCTATATAAAGCACAGATATAATGCAATACATAGATATACAGTATATATGTAGTACTACTATTTAATGAGGTGGAGTGAGATTAGGAAAAAATATCTCCAAAGGTTGTTTAGTAGGTGGTTAAAAAAAAAAGTTGAGAAATCTTGGTCTAGACCTATGAAAAAATATGAAAAGAAAAAGAGGCCAGGCGCGGTGGTTCATGCCTGTAATCCCAGCTACTCAGGAGGCTGAGGCACAAGAATCGCGTGAACCTGGAAGGCAGCGGTTGCGGTGAGCTGAGATCACACCACTGCACTTCAGCCTGGGCAACAGAGCGAGACTCCATCTCAAAACAAAACAAAACAACAACAACGAAAGAATGATTTCTTTCAATTATCATAAAGCACTAAGTCTGGTTTGCGGAATGCAAATACTCGATGCAAATCAACTGAAAACTCAGTGGTTTATTTTTATGTATTTCTTTTTAACTTTAATTTTACGTTCAAGGGTACATGGGCCGGTTTGTTCTGTACATGGTGGCTTGGTGTACAGATTATTTTGTCACCGGGTAATAAGCGTGGTACCCGATAGGTAGTTTTTGGATCCCCTCCCTCCTTCCACCCTCCGCCCACAAATAGATGCTGGTTCCCTTATTTGTGTCCATGTATACTCAATGTTTAGCTCTCACTTATAACTGAGAACATGCCATATTTGGCTTTCTGTTCCTGTGTTAGTCCACTTAGGATTATGGCCTCCAGCTCCATCCATGTTGCTGCAGAGAACACGATCTTGTTCTTTTTCATGGCTGCATAGTATTCCACAGTGTGTATCATTTTCTTTATGTAGTGTATCACATTTTCTTTACCCAGTCTATTGTTGATGGGCATTTAGGTTGATTCCATGTCTTTGCTATTGTGAGTAGTGCTGTGATGAACATACATGAGCATGTATGTGCCTTTATAGTGGGGTGATTTATATTTTGGGAGGTATATATCCGGTAATGGAATTGCTGGGTCGAATGGTACTTCTGAAAACTCGCTGTTGAGAGGCCACTGAACTTTACGTCTGTGCTTTTTCTGAAGACCTGGTGCCTTTCCTGCTTGTCGGCCCCTGTTTCCTGCAGGGCTCTGCTGCAGCTCTCCTCTGACTTTGCCCTTCCCTGTGTTTCTCCCTCTAGCTTATCATTCCTCACCTGCGATACACCCTGGAAATTAACGTCCGGGCCAGGACTGGGCTGGTCTCTGACATGGGAGTTTTTGACCAGGTATGGGAAGAGAAAGGGAGATTCTGGGCCACTCTTCTTTCCAGCTCTGGATTCAGGGCAGGTCGATTTGCCTGACCCCGCTCATCCTCGCTCCTCAGGTGGTGAGCACTGGTGGGGGAGGCCACGTGGAGCTGCTCAGGCGAGCTGGAGGCTTTCTAACCTATAGCTCCTTCTGTCCCCCTGATGACTTGGCTGACCGGGGGCTCCTAGGAGTGAAGTCTTCCTTCTATGCCCAGGATGCACTGCGGCTCTGGGAAATCATCTCTCGGTGAGGCAAGGGGCAAGGCCAGTGGGGGTGCAAGTTCGGGTGGAGAAGACGTCTAGGAGAGCGGGAGGTCTGCGTCTGGTTGGGGGCCTGTGCTTTTGTAGAGATAGGGTTTCTCCGTGTTGCCTAGGCTGGCCTCCAACTGAGGGATCCTGGAGAAGCTCAGCGGCTCAGCCTCCTTCCCACACAAGAGTAGCTGCGGAGGGAGGGCGTGCAAGGTGGAATGGTTGATAGAAACAGGGTCAAATGAAGAAACGTGACTGGCCCTTGGTGCTAGGGATTCAGGGAGTGTGCAGAGGAAGAGAATCAGGGTCGGAGTGCTGTGGCTGTTAATCAGGAGGCGACATGCAACCACAGAGAGGAAATTCATGGGATTCCAGGGCAGATAGGCTTGGATGTGAATCCTGGTTCTGCTGTTTGTAAGCTGTGTGACCTCAGGCAAAGCATCCAGCCTCTCTGATTATCTGTTTCCTCTTCTGTAAAATCGAGGCTCATTCAACGAGGTGTAAAAATTATAAGGCTGAGCTCAGTGGCTCACACCTGTAATCCTAGCACTTCAGGAGGCTGCAGGAGGATCACCTGAGCCCAGAAGTTGGCTTCAGCTAACTGGCCCTGCTCCGTTGGTTGGTAGGTATGTGGAAGGAATCGTGAGTCTCCACTATAAGACAGACGTGGCTGTGAAAGATGACCCAGAGCTGCAGACCTGGTGTCGAGAGATCACTGAAATCGGGCTGCAAGGGGGCCAGGACCGAGGTAGGAGGAGCCCCTGCCCTGAGATCTCAGACACAAAACCCAAGAGACCTCCCCAGAATCTCCTGTGCTTCATGAAATCTCCCAGAAGCATTTCAACACCTATGAGAACTCCAAAGGCCTTCTCAGATTCCACTGCCTCTCACCTAGAGACAGGTCCCCGTCCTGCACGCTGAGAACCCCTAGGTGCCAGATGCAGCGGGACCAGTGGCTGCTCATACATGTTTAACAACTGACTCTTGGGAAGAACCGTCCTGATTTGTAGCTTTTGCACATTTCCGTGGTATAAATATTTCTACTGTGGCCACCAAGGTGATGCTGACCAGCTTTTGCTTAACACCTAACGTCATTGACTGACTCTTGTGAGCCAGTGTGAGTCAGCGGCAGCACCCCACTGAGTGGGACCCCCCAGCAGAGCTCCCCACTCCGCCACCCCAACCTGCTGTCGTGGTAATTCCCGTAAGAGTTACTGAGCGCTCCTGCCGCTCTTTCTCACCCCGCCTTGTTCTCCTCTCTCTGCTCTACTCCTGCCTTCCCAGCTTCTAATTCTCCTCACCCCCTGCAGGGTTTCCTGTCTCTTTACAGTCTCGGGATCAGGTTTGCCACTTTGTCACCATGTGTATCTTCACCTGCACCGGCCAACACTCCTCTGTGCACCTGGGCCAGGTACTTACCTGGGAATTTGGGGCCTGGAGTGAGGGAGGGGTCTGTGTGCAGGTGGGCCACAGGGCTTTCCTGCTTAGCAGGCACTGACTCTGGATCCCTGCCCTTCCTTAGCTGGACTGGTACACTTGGGTCCCTAACGCACCCTGCACGATGCGGCTGCCCCCGCCGACCACCAAGGATGCAACGCTGGAGACAGTGATGGCAACGCTGCCCAACTTCCACCAGGCTTCTCTGCAGATGTCCATCACTTGGCAGCTGGGCAGACGCCAGCCCATTATGGTGAGAGCCGAGTGCCCAGGGCCCTGAGGAAGGAGGCAGCTGTGGGGACGTGCGGCATCCCAGACTGGGGGTCATAAGGCTCCCAGCCGCTTTTTCCTCTCCCTCCCAGGTGGCTGTGGGCCAGCATGAGGAGGAGTATTTTTCGGGCCCTGAGCCTAAGGCTGTGCTGAAGAAGTTCAGGGAGGAGCTGGCTGCCCTGGATAAGGAAATCGAGAACCGGAATGCAAAGCTGGACATGCCGTACGAGTACCTGCGGCCCAGCCTGGTGGAAAACAGTGTGGCCATCTGAGCGTCGCCAGCCTTTGGTTACTTCAGCCCCCCTCACCCAAGCCACAAGCTGACCCCTTGGTGGCTACAGTCCTGCCCTCCCAAGCCCCACACTCTTCCCATGTCCCACCCTCCCTCAAGGGCCACCTTTTCATGGTCTCTGCACCCAGTGAACACATTTTACTCTAGAGGCATCACCTGGGGCCTTACTCCTTTTTCCTTCCTCCCTCCTTTCCTATCTTCCTTCTTCCCTCTCTTCCTCGTTCTTCATTCAGATCTATAGGGTAAATAGGCACAATTATATAAACCATTTCAAGGCTAGAATAAGGGGATAATACGTATTACTCCATACCTTTTATGAATCAAATATGATTTTGTTGTTGTTAAGACAGAGTCTCACTTTGACACCCAAGCTGGAGTGCAGTGGCGCCATCACCATGGCTCACTGCAGCCTCAGCCTCCTGGGCTCAAATGATCCTCCCTCCTCAGCCTCCCGAGTGGCTGGAACTACAGGCTCATGCCATCATGCCCAGATAATATTTTTTTAATTTTTTATAGAGATGGGTCCTCACCCTATTTCCTAAGCTGGAAATAGGATTTTGAACACAAATTGAGTTTAACAATAACAAAAAGTTATTTTACACTAAAGATGGAAAAGAACTAGGACTAAAGTATTTTAAATAAAATATTGGCAAAAGAATATAGAGCCTCAAAAAATGTTTCTGGGTTCATATGCTTGATGTGGTAAAGAATTTAAAATTTTTAATTTTTTTTTTTTTTTTTTGAGACAGAGTCTCGCTGTTGCTGCCCAGGCTGGTGTGTAGTGGTGTGATCTCGGCTCACTGCAACCTTCGCCTCCCAAGTTCAAGCAATTGTCCTGCCTCAGCCTCCCACGTAGCTGGGATTACAGGCACCCGCTACCATGCCCAACTAAGTTTTTTGTATTTTTAGTAGAGATGGGGTTTCACCATGTTGGCCAGGCTGGTCTCGAACTCCTGACCTCAGGTGATCTGCCCACCTCAGCCTCCCAAAGTGCTGGGATCACAGGCGCGAACTGCCGTGCCCAGCCTAAAAATTTTTTAAAATTAAAAAGAAATTCTCTTCTAACTGTATAGGATTTAACTTGTGTCCTGAAGCCAGACACTCTACAAAGCAAACTATTAACATCGTGAGTCCCAAGAATGTTTGAAGATTTTCATTTCATGGCTCAGGCAGAAAATACTAAACAAAAGTCGGCTGGTTGAACTGAGGAAGCTGCTCCTGGCTGGAGATACTTGGCCTTAGGGCTTAGGCCTGAGGCATCCGTGTCTTAACCCATCTGCAGTTCACCAGTTGGCAAGCTCCACGTTAATATAATTAACTGGAAGAAGGAAACATCTCATTATTACCATAATGAGTACAACAAGAGATTCAATGAATTTCAACTTCTGGATCATGTTACAACTTGGGGAAAATAAACTTGGAAGTTTTATTTCTTTTTTATTTTTTCGAGATGGAGTCTCGCTCTGCCACCCAGGCTGGAGTGCAGTGGTGTGATCTCTGCTCACTGCAACCTCCGTCTCCTGGGTTCAAGCAATTCTCCTGCCTCAGCTTCCCGAGTAGCTGGGATTACAGGCACCCGCCACGATGCCTGGCTAAATTTTTTGTATTTTTAGTAGAGACAAGGTTTCACTGGGTTGGCCAAGCTGGTCTCGATCTCCTGACCTCAGGTGATCCACCCCCTTGGCCTCCCAAAGTGCTGGGATTACAGGTGTGAGCCACTGCGCCTGGCCTTTATTTCTTAATATGATCATCTGTGAGTATTTTAAAACAGAAGCTAACAGTATACACAAAACAAAAGTGTTTCATTTATAATGTGAATAAAGTTGCTTCTTGTCTCTGATTCTGTTTAATTCTACAGAAGACATACTGACGATGCTTGGTCCGATTTTTTTTTTTTTTCAGACGGAGTCTTACTTTGTTGCCCAGGCAGTAGTGCAGTGGCGCAATCTCGGCTCACTGATACCTCTGCTTCCTGGGTTCTCCTGCCTCAGCCTCCTGCATACCTGGGATTACAGGTGCCCGCCACCACACCCATCTAATTTTTTGTATTTTTAGTAGAGATGGGATTTCATCATGTTGACCAGGCTGGTCTTGAACTGTCAACCTCAGGTGATCCACCTGCCTCGGCCTCCGAAAGGGCTAGGATTCCAGGCGTGAGCCACTGCGCCCAGCCTGTATCCAGTTCTCATCCCATGAAATATTTCCCCTTAATCACAGACTAAAAAACTATATATTTTTCCCGGGCGCGGTGGCTCAAGCCTGTAATCCCAGCACTTTGGGAGGCCGAGACGGGTGGATCACGAGGTCAGGAGATCGAGACCATCCTGGCGAACACGGTGAAACCCCGTCTCTACTAAAAAATACAAAAAACTAGCCGGGCGAGATGGCGGGTGCCTGTAGTCCCAGTTACTTGGGAGGCTGAGGCAGGAGAATGGCGTAAACCCGGGAGGCGGAGCTTGCAGGGAGCTGAGATCCGGCCACTGCACTCCAGCCCGGGCGACAGAGCGAGACTCCCTCTCAAAAAAAAAAAAAAAAAACTATATATTTTTTCACTTCTATGGAAGTCTTAGATGGATTTCCTGATAGAGAATGAAGAATTTACACTCAGTGATCATCACAGAAATAAAATTGTTACAATCTTTTAAAATCCTTTTATTCACCTTGAAAGCAATTTTGGATTTAAGACTTCAAAGATAGGCCGGGCGCGGTGGCTCAAGCCTGTAATCCCAGCACTTTGGGAGGCCGAGACGGGTGGATCACGAGGTCAGGAGATCGAGACCATACTGGCTAACACGGCGAAACCCCGTCTCTACTAAAAACACAGAAAATTAGCCGGGCGAGGTGGCGGCGCCTGTGGTCCCAGCTACTCGGGAGGCTGAGGCAGGAGAATGGCGGGAACCCGGGAGGCGGAGCTTGCAGTGAGCTGAGATCCGGCCACTGCACTCCTGCCTGGGCGACAGAGCGAGACTCCGTCTCAAAAAAAAAAAAAAAAAAAAAAAAAAAAAAAAAAAAAATACAAAATTAGCTGGGCGTGGCATGGTGGTGCATGCCTGTACTCCCAGCTACTGGGGAGGCTGAGGCAGAATTGCTTGAACTTGGGAGGTGGAAGTTGCAGTGCGCCGAGATCATGCCGTTGCACTCCAGCCTGGGTAACAAGAGAGAAACTCCGTCTCAATAATAATAATAATAATATTTCCCTTGAAAACTGTCTCAAGCATCTAATGTAAATGAAAAGGGCATGAATTCTGCTAAGTGATTTGAAGAAAGACATCAAAACACACTGACGTTTGCATATTTTGTTTTAAATGAGACAGAGTCTTCCTCTGTTGCCTAGGCTGAGTGCAGTGGTGCCATCAGGGCTCACATTAGCCTCAACCTCCTGGGCTCAAGCAATCCTCCCACCTTGTCCTCCCAAATGCTGGGATGACAAGTAAGAGCCACTGCACCTAGCTTGTGTATTTTTGATTGGGAATTTTTGGCTCTCTCTCCAGTGCCTCATTATGTAAGGTACATAACTTGCAGGGCATGACCTCAGGCAACTTTCTAGTTGCCTGAACTTTCTAATAGCAGCAACTGGGACACAAGAACACTTTTGCCACCTGTCCTACTGTTGCTAGAATAATGTTGGCCCTTGAGTTCATATACAAAGAGAAAGCAATTTTCTCCTGGCCACTCACTGGGGCAGAAAAAGCATCCCCGCCCCTCTGCATTAGGAGAAAACACATTTTCTATGCATGAAAGAAAAGGAAGCAGAACTTCTGCTAAAATGATGCCCAGGAAAATCATTTCTTTTGAAGTGAACTATTCCATTAGTTATATTAGTCAATAGGGAAGTATGTAATATATAATCAGTATATATTATGTTCACCGAAGGTTGCTTTAAGGCTGGTGCTAGGCCAATACTGGGAAGAGTACCTGAAACAAAATAGGCACTCAGTAATCTTTTTTTTTAAATTAATGAGCAAAAAAATTAAAAACGTATGTTTCACCTGGTTTGTATTTCCCAATACAAATACCAGGGACTTCTATGAAAAGCTTTTGAGGTTTTTTTTTTTTTTTCCCTTGAAGGGCAATTTTTTTTCATATAAAGTTTGTATCGAACAAACTTTTACAAAGAACAATTCTGTGCTATGGCAGAGTATGTCTGCACATCACAGTTGTCTTTGTTCTTTATGATGAAATTATCAAACACATGAATAAGATCTGAAGGTCCAGTTTCCAAGAAAGGAAGATGGTCATGGATGCTGGTGTAAGCCAGGCCTTCTAGAAAAATTTGAAAAACTGCCAGATCCCTTGAGTTGTGAAAGGTATTTTAAAATTAGTATAGCATAGTAAAAATTATGTGTTAATTATTGTTAATAGTCTTCAGTGTTAATTGTGGACTTACTAATTGCATGAATCATGACTATTCCTTAATGTGTTATTTAAAAGTAGAGTTTAGGATGCTAAACATATGCTTATTGTTTGCAAATGCCTATGCGCTGGGATTTATGTGAGCCAAGCAGTCTGATTGGGCCAAACCCTGGGAAATGTAAATATATTTATTTTTGTTTTACTATTTGGCACAGCCTGTGTCTCCCAATAATTGTAATAATGTCTGCTATTGAATCTTGGCAGACACCATCCAGTGTTTCTCAGAATACAGGCAGCCCTCCTACACTCTGCATCAGAATCCCTCCTGCAGGGGATGCTTGTTTTTTTTTTTTGTTTTTTTTTTTTGTTTTTTTTGTTTTTTTTTTTTGAGACGGAGTCTCGCTCTGTCGCCCAGGCTGGAGTGCAGTGGCCGGATCTCAGCTCACTGCAAGCTCCGCCTCCCGGGTTCACGCCATTCTCCTGCCTCAGCCTCCTGAGTAGCTGGGACTACAGGCGCCCGCCACCTTGCCCGGCTAGTTTTTTGTATTTTTTAATAGAGAGGGGGTTTCACAGTGTTAGCCAGGATGGTCTCGATCTCCTGACCTCGTGATCCGCCCATCTCGGCCTCCCAAAGTGCTGGGATTGGGGATGCTTGTTAACAGATAGATTCGCAGGACCCGCTGCAAACCTGCTGAATCAGAACTTAAGTTTAAAACAGGCTGCACCTTCACGGGTGCTTGCTCTGTCCTACCAGTGGGCTCCCCTTTGGTTTTGCGCTTCCACAGGAAACAGGACATAGATCTAAAATTGTCTTTGCACTGGGACTGGTTTCCTTTGCTGATCTAACACAGAATAGCTGTTTGTACTGTGACTGCAAGTGTGTTGAACAGATCCTTTGTATTGTAGGAGAAGAAATTTGTGCCTCGTTGCTCACCATCACCACGGGCCCTGGTAGCTCTGCGGATAAACCAGCTTGGATTTCGCCCTCGAGGATTAACATTGCAACATTGCATAGGCACATAAAGGCACTTGAAAGTCAAGATGAGGCAGGGAACCTGCGCACTGGGATCTTTGTGTGGTTGGTGTCTTGTCTTTTGCCATTTGTCGGGCACAGCAGCTGCGGTTGCTGAAGCGGGTGAGTAACGTCCAAGAGCCAAACCAACTGCAAGAAGCTCTCCGGGAAAAGGGCATGAAGGCTGCTGACCCACGTCCCGCCCCTCCGCCGACCAACTCCACGCCTGGGATTAGAGGGGAGGAAACATTTGTCCCATACTGTCTTAGGTTCTATTCCTGGGTATCTGCAAA